AGCGCGCCTTGTTTACAGTGGCTGTCACAAGCTACGTGGAGGCCAGCAGATGACGTGGAGACGAGGCATGAAGAAATGCACAGAACGGTAAGGTAGAGTAGGTGTCTCTCGTCTTCCGGGTTGGGATCCCAAAAGACTCCGAAACCGCATGATTGGAGACACTGAGGGTCATGGCCGCGAACCGACAGCAACGGCGATCATGCTGTCACTTCTTATCAGACCAGAATGCTTGAAATAGTTTGGCTGTAAACTGTGCGTTGATCATAGAGGTTCGTTTACTTTTCCCGCCCCTACAGTAGGCCCAATCCCTGTCCTCCTTCCACATTCTCACTTATCTTGTATGCACTATGAGTTTTGCAGCGATCAGTGAACTTCGCTTTACTGTATTATGCTATAAAATGATGATGGTGATGATCTACCAGGTCAGATTAGGTTGGGTTACACAAAACTGACTATGGCCACGGCCAATCAAGCGTCCAGAATACCTTCGATGGATTGTTCAATACGTGGGCATCTAGCTCTGCTGAAATTAGAATAAGAAATAGGATCTGACCTCTCCAAGTTGGCGAGTTAATTGTTGTAATTGAGCGTTCCATTACGTGCTTCAGTCAAAATGGGAAAAGGCATAGTGAACGTCTACACTCATGTACACTGCAACATAAGGAATAATTCTACCCATCAATTTTCAAGTGTAAGTTTTTTTCTCATTTAGCGGTATTTTCTTTAGTCCGATCCAGTAGGGGCCACCTGAACGTTTATCTGGAAAGGACTGATATGAGCATGTAACACGAAAAAAACAGACTCGAGTCACCTTAGCCTACTCTTGATTACCCACGCCCGTAATTACGTGTCACATTTTTCATATCACCCGACGTGCTCGTACCTACAGCCACGAATAGATTCAATCACACGAACATGCACACATTCATACACATACTTGCGTACATGCATGCAGTCTTGTGCACATATTGATGTATACTCGTAAACATCCTTACTGGTCCCATAACGAGAACGACAGTACGACGCTGTGCTTGGTGAACGCTCTGACTATACTCACGATATGTCATGAACAGGGTAAGCGTAATCCAATCAAGTCTCAAATGGTCACTACCCAGGGTTTAAGTCTCATGCGGTGGGGTAGAGATCTGGTTTTTAAGCTGGATCAGTTGGAGGTTGGTAGAGGAGTATTCATGAGACCCTGATAACCACAGTCCAGTAATCATTCATACTTGATCATCATTCGTCATAGAGTGAAAGGAGAGATGCAAGGACAACAGTTAGCCTCGGAACCGGGCACCTCTCGGTCAAGAGAGTTTTGGCTTACTCGGCAACACTCTTTAGCTAGGAGGGGAAAACGTTACCCCGTTGGCATTGCGCTCAAGGTTTATTTGGTATTTTAACCATCAGATGTAGTGTAAAAACCCTTTTCAGTTCCTTGGGGGCAGCATAGCAGATGCCATTTCTGTTCATCCATGTGAACCAATTATTGCCGTGTTGGGGAGCTATTTTACAGATATTCCCGACATTCCCTCCATGATTTTCAAGGTTTCTATCAGGTCTCCACCCGATCTCCTTCTTTCTAATGACCAAATCCCTTGAGCCTCTAACCTTTCCACATATGATCTTTCCCTTTGGGCTTCAGCCATTCTGGTAGCCAATCTTTGAACTTTTAATAAACAAGCAGCATCCTTCTTGAATAAGGGCGCTCAAGCCTGTACACAATACTCCAGGTGCGGCGTGACTATGGCTTTGTAAACGAGAATAAAGACTTCCTGGTTGACTACATCTTAGGACCGACCGTAGTCTACGTAATCACCAGTTGCCTATTGTGCCTTTACTGCACATTGGTCAAACTGCTTGAAGTTGTTCGACATCAATACCCCAACTCCTTAACCCTCGTAGCGTTCTCGATAGTGAAATGATGCACATCCACGTCCACCTGCACTCAATTACTAACCCTGAGCATGTCCGCCTACCCTGTATAAGTGATTTTGTGGTTGCCCCACAACTGAGCAGTCTGTCTGTCCACCAGGGACATTCAGGTATTTTCCTGTACTCATATGTGTATACACACAAACATGCATGCATGCCTACATCATTCATCCTGTTGGGGCCGTTTATGCAGATTCCGGAAACAGTTCCGTCCACAGTGCATCTAGACGGCCCTTAAACTCCTCGACTGAGGCGGCTGAGCAAACGAGGCCGGTAACTTAGTCCAAGGATTTCTAACCCTATGAGCGAAGAAAGTCGCCCGGATGCCCTTCGCAGAGCGGTTATTATTGGATAGCAGTTGCGTTCCCATAATGGACAGACCTTTTATGTGCTTGAAAGCCTCTGCGGTCTCCCCTTGATTTTCTACTGACCAAATAGATTAAGTTCTCTCAACCCTTCCATCCCTCGAATTCGCCTAGTGAACCTCCTGTAACCACCGAGACCTTCACGAGGGATGGCGACCAGGCTTCGACACAGTACTCTGAGGCCTCACGAACGCTTAATAAACGGGAGAAGAACTAACCTGTCTCTTGAGGCCACAGTTAACAGTAACTGGTGAAGTGCTGTTTGTTTTTGTCGCAGCTAGAAGACACTGCTTAGTTGGTTTGCAGGCCTCGTGTATGAGCATCCCCCAGATCCCTCATCTGCCCTGTTTGCGTCATTTCCTGAGGGTCTCCAACATCATTGACGAACACAAAACACGGCCCGACCAGTTCTTGGGGCAGGTCGTTCATTCGCCATTAGGCCCTTGAACATGCAATCGTCTGTGTGGCTCCGGTGCGTTAACTCTTGGGACTATATCTGGGAAAGAGGGGAGAAAGGTACATCATACTAGTGTGGGAGATTCAAGTTTGTACGGAACCTTAAAAAACTTCAGGTCGTATTACCGCTTTTCCCAAGTACAGTAAAACAATTCAATGTCAGTTCAGTTCAGTTTGCACAGGACGATGTGTGGCCCGGGCCAATCTTGCGTCCAGATTGATGTGTTTTTAGCTGTTCTTGTGGCTTCCAACACTGCAAGTCAATAGGTTTTTTCTGAAGGACAGAGAGTAAGGTGCAGTATCACGTCCTGGGCGATGGTGCTCAGGACTAATAGGTACCTACCATCAAACCGTTCTAGGGAAGGTAAAAGCTCAACAGTCATCTAATGCCCTCTTGAAGGCTATGACGTTCGAGCAACTTACCACATTTTCTGGTAGATTATTCCAATAAAGTATTACGCGACTTGTGAAGAACTTGGCTCGAATCTCCAGCCTTACAAAACTACGTTGTAGCCTTAAACTATGTCCCCTAGTGCCACTTGAGGGGATGAACTGGAACATGTCCTCGAACTTAAGTCCGGAGAGACCGTTGATGATCTTAAAGACTTCTATGAGAGCCCCCTTACTCTTCTTCTTGCCAGAGAGAACAGGTTAAGGTCCTTGAGTCTCTGCTCGTAGCTCTTACCTCTTTGTCCCACCATAATCCTTGTGGCCAGGTGTTGCACTCTTTCTAGACATTCGATGTCTTTCCGAAAGTAGAGTGTCCATGTTTGAACACAATATTCCAAGTGAGACCTGACTATGGCTTTGTACAGAGGGACGAGAACCTCGGGTCTTCTACACGTAATCGTGGAGTGTAGACGAAGGAGTTCCCTTCGAGCTACGCTGGCTGCCCTCAGACATTGTTGAGAGGTTTTGAAGTCGTGGGGGATAATTACTCCCAGGTCCTTAACTTCCCTCTCTCTCTTAGGCTGGATTACATTCTGTATATCAAGTTCAGCTTCTGCTGTTAGAAGCCGACACTTAGCTAGGTTGAGCGGAAGATCCCACTTTTCGGATCACCGTATAACAGCCTGCAAGTCCTGGTATACGTTCGTTCCTGCCACTTTGAAGTCGTCCGCGAACATAAAGTACGGGTTGTTGATTTCCCGTGGTAGATCGTTGACGAACATCAAGAATAACAGTGGGCCTAGCACAGAACCCTGAGGGACACCGCTAGTCATGTGTGCCGGCATCGATAGTTGCATACTAACCTTGATCTGGAAGGTGCGGTTAGTTGTAAAGCAGTAGACCCACTTTCTAACTTTCCACCGATTCCCAATAGTTGCATTTTATGGTCTAAACCCTGGCGACTTACCGAGTCAAAGGCTTTGATAAAGTCCAGGTAACAGACCTCGACATGCTGTCCCTCGTCTGAGCGCCGTGTGACCCCAACGAGGAAGGCAATTAGATGTGATACACAAGACTTGCACTTATTAAAGCCTTGTTGAGCTGGCGTTTGTAGCTCCCGCCCTACGAGTTGCACAGCCATATGCTTGCGTACAATCCTTTCTAGGCATTTGCATANAAGACTTCTTGTGGTGATCCAGACTTCCGTGACCGCAATCCATGCACGACTAGGTACAGTTGCATGTCATCCAATCACCGTTCAGGAAGCTTGACCAATGGTACACTGGGGAACGTGACATTCGAGTTAGTACATATGGTGCGTCGGCACAAACGGTTACGTAATTGGACGACGGCCCATCAACCAATCATATGAGATATTTCTTTCTGTAAAACATGCTCTTATTCTATCAATAAATATAAGCATTTGGTGCTATCAATTCCTCGTGTATATCATTTGTATCCGCAATTTGGGTTGAGGCCAATTCAGTTCTGAGCAGTATAGCACGGATTCTCGTATATCTAAATTCAATACTATTCTGATTACCACAATTTGGCGTCACGCAATGGAGATTCCTATCATTGAATCACTGAAACTGCACGGAAGCCCATCAGAAGTCGAACAGTTGGTAGAAACGTTCGAATTTTGGTGCTCCATCCGGAAAGGAGGATTGCAAAATCGGTCGGTCCTATTTTTGACGTTGGGCGGCCGAGAGCTGTATTCCTTGGTGAAGAATCTATCGTTCTCGAATGTTCATGCAGAATTACGGTTTGAGTAGTTGAAATCCCTATTACTGGACCACAGTGGACTTTTAGGCCACTGAACGGACCAAATTCAACTCAATTATCAGAGCTGCCAACATGTCGTGCGTTGAGTTCATTCTCCAGTTGAACAAACAGGCGTCAAAATGCAACTATGGTGACCGATTGGAAGAAGAACTTTGCGACCGTCTCATTGCTGGAATCAACAACATCTCATTACAACGTAAGATGTTGGAAAAGAAAGATATCACGTTTGCTGAGGCTCCAAATATCTGTGAGCAAAGTGACGATTTGTGTGCTGCCACAAATGCGGATTCTCCTGTGTTATTCCATCGGCGATCAACGAAACCTTTACGTGACGCAGTATTTCATACTGAATTTTTTGAAAATCCTTCCGAACCCATAATGATTTATGGTGCAATAGCTTTATCTGCGTGCTGCTCTTATATTGACATTTCACGATCCTGAACACCA